GCACTGCCTGGTGTTCTCAGGCCTGGCATGACCAGAGGGTGTCTCTTCTGGTCACAGCCCCTGTGGGTGAAGCACTGCAGGTACAGAGAATGTCCCTTATCCCAGAGGGCACGGGAGGTCAGGAACCCAGGCAGCTGTGCCCCTGGAGGCCTCCCTTCTCAGCTTGTGTTAAATGCTGTGCCCCAGAGCTTTAGTTGTCAATTTGACACACCTGGGAAGAGGGACCCTCAGATGGGGATTTCCTCTACAGGATTTGCCTGTGGCCACGTCTGTGAGGCATTTTCTTGATTGCTGAGAGATGTGGGAGGGCCCAGCCCGCTGTGGGTGGTTCCAGGCCTATGCAGGGGGTCCTGGTTGTATAAGAAGGCAGTCTGAGCACAGACCAGAGAAGCAAGCCAGTGAGCAGCATTCCTGGTCCTGCTTCAGCTTCTGACTCCATGTTCATGCCTTAAGCCCCTGCCCTGGCTTCCCTCAGTGACGGACTGACTGTGAGCTGAAATAAACCTTTTCCTCCCCAAGTTGCTTCTGGTCATGGTGTTTATTACAGCAATAGAGAAAGCAAACCAGGACAGATGCCTCCATCTAGTCAAAGTTGACAGATTCCTAGATGGTCGGGTTACAAATATTTACAAAGCCTTCATCTTTGTGTTTAGCAAATTTTCTTATGAATTTGTTCACAGGGTGTGATTAAATTAATTTCAACAGAGCCCCTTTTTATTACAGATTTAGGCTGTATAAAAAATATCTAATTCTGGGCCTGGAGAGATGGCTCAGCAGTTAAGAGCATTGGCTGTTCTTGTAGAGGACCAAACACCCAGATGGTGGTTAACAACCATCTGTAACTACAGTGCCAGGGGAATTTGACACCCTCTTCTGCTCTCTGTGGGCACTGCTCAACACCAGTGCACTTACCTACATTCAGGCAATACACTCATCCACGTAAAATAAAAATAATAAATAAAATATTTAAAAAACCTTAATTCTGGGCTGGTGATTTAGGTCAGCAGGTAAAGGGGCTTGCTGTCAAGCCTGAGTTTGATTCCTAGGACCCACATAGTGGAAGGAGAAAACCAACTCCTGCAAGTTGTCCTCTGACCTCTACATGAGTGTTGTGGTGTGCGTGCATACATGTACATGCACACACACGCACACACACACACACACACATAAATAAATGGATGTAATAAAAAAAATTTTTTAAACTCCAGTAAAGGGGCTTGCTGTCAAGCCTGAGTTTGATTCCATAGTGGCAGAAGAAAACCAAAGAAAACCAACTCTTGCCTGTTGTCCTCTGACCTCTACATGAGTGTTGTGGTGTGCGTGCATACATGTACATGCACACACACACACACACACACACACACACATAAATAAATGGATGTAATAAAAAATTTTTTTTAAACTCCAGGTCTGAAACCACCACAGCAGTATTTCTGGTGAAAGCTATTGGCTTCTGACTTTGACTGGGGCCCAGGAAGGAACATATTTCCTCCATAGGGCTGCCAGTCAAGGAAGAGAGCAGGTACTCGGAGTTAGAGGGTGCTCACAGTTAATCTGTGCGAGCCCACGTTTTGATTTTGAGTTCCTCCTTCCGTATCCTCACTCTTGTGATCTGAGACATGAGGACCCGAGAGCAGAGGCGGATCCGGGCTGCTGGCGGCCAGCGAGATGGCTCAGGGGTAAAGGTGCTTGATGCCAAGCTTGAGGATCTGAATTTGATTCCTAGAACCCAAATGGTGGAGGGAGCGAACTGACTCCTGAAGATGGTCTTCTGACTTCCACACATATGCCACCACACATACGTACTCCCCACACATAGTGCTCCCCATCCACCCCCATGCAAATAAATAAATGTAAAATTATTTTGTAAGCATGAAGATTGCCTGGATGAACAACGGCTAGTCTCAAATACTGCTCCAAATGTGCTGACATGCTCTGATGCCACCGAGGGAACTAGTAAGAGGATGAGGAAGAGGGGACAGACAGATTGACATGCCACCACCCAGCAGCCACGTGAGAGAGACAGAGAGAATATTGATATGTCCACTTCTACGGAGCATCATCAAGGTCTCACCAGGAAAACAAGGCACTGACCATGCCCACCAGGATGAACCTTGTTTGTGTGTGTGAATATGGTATGTGTACATGTCTGTGTGGGTCACAGGTGTAGAGGCCAAATGTCATCATCAGGTGTCTTCCTTGACCATCTTCACCTTAGTTTTTGCGTCAAGGTTGCTCACTGAACTTGGAACTCACCAGTTCAGCTAGGCTGGCTGGCAGTGAGCTCAAGGCTCTGCCTGTGTGACATTTTAAACATAAAAACACTCCCAAGTTACCTAGAAACCTGAGTCGTTCCTCTTTCTGCTCCTAAAGCAAAACAGCATTTGTCTATTGTGCCTGGGAAGTCCTGAACCAAAGCACTCTTTGTAAGTGAAGAAAAGTCCCATATTCTAGCCCGGGCTTCCAACACATCCACTGTCCCTTTTCTTTGCTGCAGAAAGTAGAACTCTTTTAGTAAAAACCTTCTATCTAAAAATACACTCACAGCCAACTCTGCAATTCACTCCTCTGTGGGAGATCTGCCTTCCATTCTATTTCCTCAAATACAAAAGGTCCAATTTGCTGATCTGTTTATCAGTCATGCCAGAGGCCTGTGTTGTAGAAGTAACCAGAAAAACCAAAGCTTAGATAACTCTCTGTCTTCTTTCTCTGTCTCCTCTCTGTCTCTCTGTCTCTGTCTGTCTGTCTGTCTCTCTCTGTATGTGTATGTGCTTTGCGAAAGGTCACAATATGTTAGTCCTCTTACCTGTCCTCCTAGAGCAGGAACCTGGGTAAGGGCATCCTCAGGACTGTGGACCCAACCTTACAGGTCCTTGTTGGTGATACATCCCTAGGTGGACCTTCCTCCTCCTGACTCTAACCTAGACGCTGCCGCTGCTCTTTTTCCTTCCCTTTGGGGTCTCTGGTTTATGGAACATTGCCGTGTGTGTGTGTGTGTGTGTGTGTGTGTGTGTGTGTGTATGGTGGCTACCTGGATGCTACTGTAACTGGTGCCTTGGAAAGGGCTACCCTTGGCTGCTGCACATTATGGACGAATGGCCCTAAGCTTTCACAGCTGGTGGATTCAAACCACAGAGGACACAATCTCAAACAGTTTTACTACGGCAACAATACGCCATCAACTGTGGAAGGGCAGACAATTTCATTTCAGCAGGAGGATTTTACACCCATTCTATCTGGCTTCTTTAAGGGACACACACACCTAGTGACTGTGAATTTCTAGAAAGTGACAAGAATCCAAAGAGAATTTCCAAACATTAACTCATCATGAGAGGGGAAAGGCTTTCTTTTCAACCATGATTATGGATCTAGCCTTGGGACAGGAAACAGGATTGAGATACGTGGTTGAGAATGAATTAAGTAGAAACAAAATATCTAGAAATGGGCAAAGATTTTCATACATAAGGAAGCAAACCCTTCAGGTTTAGATAACAGTCCAAATACAGAAGAGAATCCCCCACCCCCAGGCAAAAGCATAACAGATAACAGCAGGGCTGCAGCTGTGGACTGTTCCATCATTTAACAGGCCCAAGGTCAAAATGACATAAAGGGCCCTGAGGATCCCTCCAGGCTGCTCCCCAATGATGTTTAAGCTACCATACTGTTTGGCCTAAAAATGTCCTCAAGATGGCTGCAGAATGGCCCCTGGCTAGTGTTACCAAACCACACTGAGCCTGTCACATGACCTGATAATCCCCCGTGTGCCCCACATGTAGGACTAAGTGTACTTCTGGCTGTCATATTTCCAGAGGGCAACAGTGTATTTGGGACTTGTCCAGAGAAAGGCACTCAAAAATAAGAAGGTAACAGCAATACCAGAAACAGCAGCCAACAGGTACACAGGCCCCTGCTCAGGTATCCCGCCAGGTACCAACTGTTCTGAATACTTCATGTCTATCTCTTTATCTCATCTTTCAACCATCCCACTATAGAGAGGAGGAAACTGAGGCATGGCAAGGTTAAGTAGCTTGTCTAAGTCACACAGGGAGTGTTTGGTTCCACATCCAATGCCACATTCCTGGCTCTTAACTCCAGGCTCCTACTACCTGGGAAAGGCAGAACAAAATCCCAAGCCGCTCCATAGGGGATGTGCAAACTAAAAGTAATTTAAGTTAATAAAACCAAGACAAAGACTGACAGGGAAAACATGGCCTTTGTATCAAACTGTAGATTATTAAAGTTAGGCTAAAGTTAAGATTAGTAAGATTTCTTGGTACAGCAGGAAGCACATCACAGGTTTGCTCTCCTTCCAGGTACAAGGGGGGCAGTATCTCCACACTGATTCTCCCAGGAATGCTGTTGCTCGCCTCCACAGAGGCCAGCCACAGCACCAAGGAACTGCCATCTTCCCCACTGTGGCCAAGCCTCCGTCTTTTGTGTCCCGGTGGCCATGTGCCCGTCCTCGCCATCATCTCTTAGGAACCCAGACTAGGAAGGAAGATGGTCTGTGGGTGTGGGCGCCAGCTCTCAGTCTAAAAGGGCAGAAAGTCCTGCCAAGAAGTCTACCGTCTAGAACTCAGGTCAGTTGTAGAAGCCTACTCTAGATCCGCAGCACGCACAGCCATGGAGCTGTGGGATGGCGCCTTCCCATCCTACCTCTAGTCTCATAAAGAACTCTGAGAGTACATGTGCTATGTGTGACCAGCTGTCAGGCAACAGATGGACCTATGGCTGGAATGGCTTTATTTCAAGAACCCGCTTATCTGTCAACCAGGGGAACAAAGGTGTGTGTGATAGGGAAGAAGGCCCAGGGGGTATGACTGGATGCAAAGTCAACAGCAAGACAGAGCTGTAATTGTAGGCTTGATGAATGCATTCAGACAAATGCGTTGACACAGCAACCACTGCTGAGCTTGTCAGTAGAACTAAAGACAGACTTTCCGGCTTTCTAGCATTCCAGAGGAAACCCACTACTTGCCCAGCATCCTGGTCCTACTCACCTACGCAGTTATCACACAGGCTGCAGTGGGAAGCACGAGGTGGCCGGAAAATCTTGCAGGTGAAACAATACTTAAGTTTCACAGTCTGGCCATTGATGATGACTTCTTTGGTTCTGGGAGGTGGGCGATACCCCCCTGAACTGGTGCCATTGGCGATATCTGTGGAGGAAAGGAGAAACAGCACACACCCTCAGAGCACCGTTTTAGCTCTCTGGTCCCTGTCACCTTCCTCAATGACCCAGTCTAGCTGTGGTCAGCGTGCCTAGGGCATCTGCAGCATCTCACTGCTTGGTGCTGTTGTGTGAACCTGTGACCCAATGGGGGTTCTGGCTGCACTTGTCCGAAGATCACATGATGGGCTCTGGCCAAAAGATTGAGGACCATGGTCCCACCCAGTGGGGAAATGCTCCCCATGGGCCATACCTACTCCTTCCTCTAGGGGGCAGGCATCGGAAATAAGCCTCAGGGCTATTTGGCAGGGATCAGGTAGGTACCTCCTCTTGACCTGGTTACCAGCTCACTAAGCTTGGCTCAACACCCTAGTACGGGTGTTGTTAACCTAGCCTTGCCCCAGTTAACACAGTGCTGGCCTTCATTTTCTTTCTTGCACTGTGTTCTCCAAACCAGCTAAAATATTGCATTGTTTTGACTCTCAGCCTCAAAAATAAAAAGAGCAGTGGGGGATGGCAGGAAGGAATATATATATATGAGTTACATGGAGCACTCCTGAAGCTATAAAAAAATATATGTATATATATATTTGAGACAGTGTCTCCCTGTAGCCTCAGCTGGCCTGGAACTCACAGAGATCCACCTGCCTCTGCCTCCTAAGTGCTGGGATTAATGGCGTGCGCCACCACACCTAGGCACTTCTGTATTTTGTTCAGCATCTTTTTTTCTTTTCTTTTAGAGTCAGTTCTAAAATGCTGAAGAAAACACAAATGCATCCATTTTTCCAAAATTTTTATATTTATTTGTGTGTGGGAAGAGGTGCATGCCATGGTGCTTGTGTGGAGGTGAAGGGAAAAAAAAGTCTTGTGGGTTTTAGGGATCAAACTCAGGTTACCAGCTTTGGTGGCAAGCATTTTTACCCACTGAACCATCTTGCTGGCCCATATATCTATCTATCTATCTATCTATTTTTTTTTTTTAATCTTATAGCCTGGTTCTCCTCCCTGATCTCATATTAGAATCACCCTGGGGAACTTTTAAAAATTACCCTCCACTGGGGGCTGGAGAGTTGGCTCAGTGGCTAAGAGCACTGGTTGCTCTTGCAGATGACCCAGGATTCCCAGCACCCACATAGCAGCTAACAACGGTCTGTAACTCCAGTTCCAGGGGAATTCGACGGCCTCTTTTGACCTCCATGGGCATTGCACAACACAGGTGCACTTATATACTTGCAGGCAATACATTCATATATGAAAAATAATATATATTTTTAAAATTCACCCCCCACACCCTTACGCTTGATTTGGTACGTAGGGTTAAGTTGCCTGCTCTAGAGGAAGATGGAATTTAGTTTTATTTGCATGTGGATTCCTCACAGCCCTGTGAGGCTTGCCAAGAAGAATTTGGGGCAACCAGCTGTACAGTCAAGATCCGAGTAGAAGAGATGAGCAAGAACTCCAGAAGGGCTCCCGCTGAGCCTGGAGCAGTTCCAGGAATCCAGAGCTGGTGAATGGAAGGGAGCCGCTCATCCCAACTCACACCCACTGTCACACACAACTTACTTTTGCTGATTTCCAAAGTGGTAGGAATTAGTGCCATCATTTAGGCAGGCCCTTCACATGAACAACCTTAGCAAGAGTTATGTGGAGAGCTCCCGAGGCTACTGATGTCTTGGCTTTGTCCTTAGAATTCCGATTTCACTGGGAGTCATGCAGAGACAGGCATGGTGTTTTTAAAAAGTCCCCCTGATACCCCAACCTGGTTGAGAACCAAACCAAAGTTGAAAACCACTGCCCTAGGACTTTATTTCAAGTGAGGTTCCACATAGTGTTCATTTTGCATGACAGCTCATCAAAGAAGATCTCAGCTCATCACAAACACTGCATCAGAGTCTGCATTTTTTCAAGATTCTCCAGTTATCATGCACTTAAAGTCTGAGAACCCTGCTCCTGGGTACACAGAAACACTCTCCAACCACACACAAAGCACACAGACCCCTTTGTTAGGTATTCCAGTACACTCACAGATGTGATAAAGACTAAGCTTGGTGAGAACAATTTCACTGGATGAGGAGACACACCCCAAACACACCCAGCATCCCAGCCTTCTTGCGTCTATTCAGCCAGGCTGATGGTATCTGGAGGGCTGTATTCTGTCCCTCACTGACAGAATCCATAGCTCACCAATCATGACTTACAGGCTCCAAAAGCTATGGGACCTCAGCCTTCTTTTAGAGGTGTGGGATGCCGGATAATCTGCTGTAGCCCTTTAGCCTCAGGCTTTGGTATTAGTGTTAAAACCAATCCCAGAAGTAAGGAGTTCTTCAGAGCTGTTACCAGACATTGACTATTCATGGAAAATTAAAGTTCCAGTATAGGATGCAAAGAGTGAGGAAGGAGAGTTCAAGGAAGGGCAGGATGAAAATAATCAGGGCAGGCCTCCCGTTTACCTCTTCCTGGGACCAACCTTCCTAGCCTATTTAGCACCATTAAATAGCTATGGAGTCACCTCAGCTGCCCTGGGTCACCTTGCCAAGCAGGATACTCTCTTGGTACACCCCTCAACCTGGCACCCACCTCATCAAGTGATGCTAAAGTCAGCAACATCTGCATCTGCATGACGGAGAAAACTGAGATGATGTGGCTGTGGCTGCTTGTAAGCAGAAGAATGGAAGGAAAGACTCTGAACACACAGATGAGGAGGGAAGATCTGTGTGAATGCCAGTGGGGTGCCACTGAGGCCCAAATTAGTAAGAATGTGGTGCTTTGGCAATCTCATGTCAGCCGCAAAATTCACTGCAAGTATTAAGCTCCTGCAAACTTGGATAGGGAAACTAGGTCAGTCATAGATTTAAAATGACACTCATCCATCTGGGCACGATGGCATAGGCCTTTAATTCCAGCATGCCAGAGTCAAAGGCAGGCAGATCTCTGTGAGTTCAGGACGAGCCTGGTCTACATAATGAGTTTCAGGTCAGCCAGGGTTACACAATGAGACTCTGTCTCAAGACAAAATAAAAATAAAAAAATAAAAAAAGACACTCACCCAATCAAACATCTATGTTGATTTCATTAGAAAAGTTTTGAAGCTGGATTCCCAAGGCAAATATTGTAAAATGCAGAGATGACAAACGGACTAGCCCAACGCTGCATAAAGCCTGGTTCTGCGCAGCAGCAGTGGGACCACAAAGTGAGTCTTTGTGAGCAGTCCTTACAATAGACCCTATTGAGCTTATACCTCCAAAGCACATTTTTTTTGAAAGATTAAACCTTTGATTCAAAGTGAGTTGAAAACTAGAATTCAACAGACATAGTAAACTGAAGCTTAAGAAGTTAGCCCAAACCCCAAACCCTTTGATTAGATATTTGGAGAGCTCCATGTAAAAGAAAATGGGAGGATCAGAAGACCTGCATTCAGGGCCCAGATGTGCCATTAAATGATGGGAGGATCAGAGAACTGAAAACCGCAGTATCTACAAAGGGCTGATGCTGCCACATGGGGCTGGGTGGGTCCCGTGGGGGGCCTGGGAGGTCTCCTGTGGCAGCCTGCAGAGCTAGTGAATCTCCTTTCTGGTTTCCCTGGGCCCTTCGATCAAATTCATTCTCCTCATGGCCTTCAGAGGCAGCTTTCTAATGCAGCCCTGACCAAGTCCCTGAGGCCTCCCCAAGGCTCACAGAGTCCTCAGCAACCCTGGCATGCTCTTTCTGCAGCAGTCTTACATGGAGCCTATACCCCAAATCCTGCAGTGGCCCTGTGCTTCCCTGAGCAGCCAACTGCTACACAGCTGGGCACATGCACAGCTGGGACTTCCTGGACCCTGTCTGTGGGGGATAATCTCACCTTTAAGGTCCAGTTCAGGCTTCTCTTGTGAAAACAGCTGCCAAGCTGAGCTGCTTATTTCCTCCCCTGGGCTCTCATTGTACTTAATTCAGCTATTTATCCAGTCAATTGAGCTGTGCTGGGTTTCTATTGGGTGCCACCCCTGGCACCTGAGGCTTCAAATACTGACCTGAAGACAAAAATTTTCTTCAGTGTTCAGATTGGAGCTGACGGCTGATCACAAAGCCTGTCACCCGTGGCCCCAGGTATGTGGCACAAAGGATAAAGCTGAATGCTCAGGTCTAATCCTCAATTATTCTGTGTGGGATTTTTTTTTTTTTTTTTTGGTAACAATTGCTTCTCTGCTTCTTAGGGATGCTCTTTGTGGTTTAAATACAGCTCTTGAAAAAGCAAATGTCTACAATAGCTAATGGTTCAGGAACACTAGAATTTGAGGGGTAAAAGCCTTCAGTATTTTCTGCAAGTTCATGGGGATTAGGCTCCAGGGCATTTTTACACAAACATTCTGAAAAGAAAACTTAAAGCTGGAAATAGACTTTACATTCATAAAGGTCCCTCCTCTTAAACTGTTGGTAGTTGGTGGCATAGCGCTGGAAATAATAATGTGCGCTTATATGTCTATGTCTACAATGAACCTTGTAATCAGACCTGAGGGCAAAGAATTAAGGGTCCTGGGGACAGAAAGGGGAGGATGGCCATACATGCTCAGGAATGGGAAACTGCCAGTGAATGAGGTGTTTCAGTGAAAGAGTAGTCCTGGATTAGCCAGACGTCTCTGGCACAAATGTTCGTTAATAGTTGCCTACTCATTCAAAGACAATCTTTAAAAGGGAACTCATTTTTTCCTCCTGAAGGAACAGCAAGCAGTATGCTTACATCATGATGAACCTGTTTGACCCCCATGATATTTATTCCCACCTCCAACCCATTGTAAGTAACTGGACTAAGCTTTCTTAAAGTGCAACGCGAAAAATGTCACCTTTCTAAGATGCGGATTAAGATTCTCTCTCCAATTGAAAGGTTCATCTTGGTGAGGGGCATTCCTCTGTGCATTGAAGTTTCACAGACCATTAACCAGCTGATAGAGCATCTGCCAGAGTGATGGCAGCCTCTGAAACAGGAGTTTAGTCAGCATGAAGATAAGGCAT